AAGCAAAACATGAACAATAGACTCAAAAACATCAAAAGACTCCTCAGGCAGCTCCTGAATGTAGTGGTCCTGGGGTATCTGTCATGCTCAAACTCCGATAAGTAGATCCACACCTGTATGAGAAAACTTTAACCAACACTATGTGAGATAATAACGCTCCATGTTAGACACATGCAAGACATGATTGAGGCTATTTTTGCAAAATGACTTATTTGGCCAAAAGATGGCTAGAAGTGCAAAATTTGGCTAAGACCCCGCAAAGCCAAGAACCTAAGATTTACTTGAAAGACCGGACTCTATGTGGGTTGCCTACGTATCACGCCTCGAAAGAAAAGAATCAGGTATGCGTAGTTCGGGCAGATTGAATACGGGCGAGAATTAAAAAAACAACTAATTTAGAGAAAATATATTTTTTATCTTTTTCTTGAAAACTGATGAAACATGTAAACTCTTTTTGGATTTCTATTTTCCTTTTTTTTGATTTTTTTTTTTTTGAAAATGATGGGAAAGTGCAAAATCTTTATGGATTTTTCGTATATCTTTTTTTTGGTCTTTTTCTTTAAAAAAATGTGAAAGAAAAACATAATTCGGCCCTACTTGCTTATTTTCACACTTCACCCTCTTTTTTTATTTTTTTTTATTTGCCCTCAGCTATCATTGGTCCGCCAAATGACCCTTTTACCCTTGAAGAAATGCAACATGTAGCACATAGGATGCATCAAGATGGTCTGTTATTTTGGGTACACATGTCCTAGACGGACCCAACCCCTGTGTTGAGCCCCCTAAGTGAAATGCACGTGATGCAACAAACGTTCCTACTAGGGATCCGGCATGAGGCTATGTTATTCTAGGTTTAAAAACCTGGGTTTATTTGTTCTAGACCTGGCCTACCCAAGCGGACAGCTCGAGCCGAGGGGGGCAGCGTACCGGGAATACAAAAGCTTCACCGGCTTTGCAACTTGTCCGAACCTCGTCCTAAAATTGGAATATGACTCTAACAGAAGAGAAGTCACACGAAGTGCACACTTCCCAGATGATTTAGAAGACTCAGAGAGAGGAGGGTTTCGCAACAATTTATATACAGTTCAACAATATCAAAGCGGTAAAAAGCAACATTTAGCACATTAGGCCCAAACATGTAAATAAAACCAGATTACAAATAAAGCCAAATATAACAATTATTCTAAGCTCGAAATCTGAACCCTGAACCAGAGGTCCTGGGTTCTTGTCCCCAGCAGAATCGCCAGAGCTGTCACACCTCCTTTTTCCTACCCCCGGAAGGGATATAAAGGGAGTTTTTTCCAATTTAAGTGACAATCGAAACGGGATTTATTTATTAAAGTTTAGAGTCGCCACTTGGGATAATTTATGGTGTCCCAAGTCACCGGTTCAAATCCTGAATCGAAGAAAAGATTGACTCTGTTTTTGCAGTCCGCGAACACAGAAATCCGGGTAAGGAATTCTGTTAACCCGGGAGAAGGTGTTAGGCATTCCCGGATTCCGTGGTTTTAGCACGGTTGCTCAACTGTTATAATTGGCCTATTACCTGATTTTAATACATGTTTTGGCATAAATTGGTACAACTAAAAAATGTGATGCATATGTGTAGTAGTACAATTCATGAAATAAAAATAAATAAAAAAGGAAGCAAAAAGCTAGGGGTGTCAATGTATATTTAAAAACCGAATAAATCGACCAAACCTTACCGTAACCGAACTAATTTTTAGGCTTCTTTTAATAAAATTGCAAGTTCTTATATAAATCAATAACCAATAATTAGGGTAGATTTTTTTTATTTTACGAAAATAAATCGAAAAAATACCGAACCGTAACGAATAAATTTACATGTGAAAAAAGTATATATTAAGCTTAAAAATAATGAAGCATTAATTTTTTCCATGGTCCTTCGAATTGTGAAAACAGATACAAACCACAAGTAAATAAACTCAAAATCCTAATTCCCAAACCTATTATACTACTCCTATTGAAACTAAATTATTTTCGGCATATTCACTAGCAAGATACAAAATATTGTAGCGACTATGAGTGGCAAACTACAATGTGTTGAATGTATTTTCTTTCGTATGTTTAGATTTATCTTTTTGAATATTTAATCTTCTATAAAATTTGTTCTTGAGTCCCAACCTTGGTTAATATCTTTCCACTCATGTGATTTATATTTTATTTGTATAGTTTCTTTTACGCTATTGTAGAATAGTCGATGGATCTATACCCTGGTTATTTTAAATATTTTCTTAATTCATCACCCTTTAAATTGTAAAAATATCTAGAGAATTTTGTTTAAGGCAAAATACATACTTTACTCATCGACCTTGTACTCAAATTTCTCTTACACATTTGTTAAATAAGGGAATAGCTTACACATCAAAACTTTTAAAAGTGTATCAATTACACACCTCTTTTGCCATGTGTCACACGCGTGTATTACACATAAAAGAGGCATGTGAAAACTAAAATATTCACCTGAAATTAAGTTTTTCCCCCTTTTTTTTAACTATTTCGTTTTAAAATTAAACAGAAAAAGAATATAACCATGTCTTCTTCCCCAACCCCAGCGTTTTCTCCTACCTCCCCCCCCCCCCTCCCGTTTCATCTTCTTCCCCAACCCTCATCCTAGTTTTATCTACCCCTCATATTTCGTCTCTCCAACCCCCATGACTAAGAAGAAGAAAAAAAAATATATGAGCTATTGGGTCTTGTAAAAATCACCATTATTGACTTTTTATAAACGCTTGAAAATTTAATCGGGTCTTGTTGAATTTGGTGTTTCATGACCTAGAAATTAGTTTGAATTCGTGATTATTATTGAGTAAAAATTTACTTAGGTAATTGTCACACCTCCTTTTTCCTACCCCCGGAAGGGATATAAAGGGAGTTTTTTCCGATTTAAGTGACAATCGAAACGGGATTTACTTATTAAAGTTCAGAGTCGCCACTTTAGATAATTTATGGTGTCCCAAGTCACCGGTTCAAATCCCGAATCGAGGAAAAGATTGACTCTGTTTTTGCAGTTCGCGAACACAGAAATCCGGGTAAGGAATTCTGTTAACCCGGGAGAAGGTGTTTGGCATTTTCGGGTTCCGTTGTTTTAGCACGGTCGCTCAACTGTTATAATTGGCCTATTACCTGATTTTAATACATGTTTTATCCTATGGTGTATTTTAACTTATTAACCGCTTTTAATCATTTTTAAGAAGATTCAACGCTATTTAAAACACGCCTTGGACCACGCCACATGAAATGCACCCGCGGTCCGCGACACATTTTATCTAACGTTGTTGAGATTTGAATTTGGGTCACATGAAATGCACACCCGAGTTTAAGGAAGTTAATTTAAATTACGCGCCTAAAGCAGCTACGCACTTTCAAGTTAGCGAGGGCCATGGAAAGTTCGCTAATGGCACACCTCGATTTCTAAAAGGTTTAAAATTAATTATCCGAGGGCCGTGGGTTATCTATTTTTGTTTATGGCACACTAGACTAAAAGTACAAATGATTATATGTAGCATAAATTTTAAAAACTTTGTATAAAAATATACATATATAAGTGTAATAATAAATTTTATTATAGTCGATTTGGTTCTGTTTTTTCGTTTATTTTTTTTATTAAAACCAAACCAAATTTATTCGGTTTTAAAATTCAAAGCCAAAACCAAATCAAACCAAACCAAAAAAGTTTCAATTTTTTTGGTCGGTGTTTTGGTTTTTGGTTTGGATTGGTTTTTCGGGTTTTTATGAACACCCGTAATTGACACCCCTAGCAAAAGGTGAGGTGCAAATGAAACTGATGCATACATTAGGGGTTCGGAATGGAAATAACTCGAATTTCAGTACGAAGTCTCAAAATTCCCAATTGACAACCCTAAGCTTCTTAGTTCTCTCACTTCTCTAGGGGTGGGCATCGGTCGGTTCGGCTCGGTTTTGAATATTATCGGTTTTGCCTATCGGTTATCGGTTTACAAATATCATAACCCGATAACCAAACCGATAAGATATTGGTTATCGGTTATCGGTTAATCGGTTATCGATCATTATCGGTTCGGTTATCGGTTTACCCGATAAGATAAATCAACTAAAATAATTTAGCAATATATAAAACCGTCGAGTTCTCAATTATCTTGAGCCAGAAGTCAAGAAATAGATCAGATTTTCGTTGTCTTTGAGAACTTTCTGATGCATAAATATAGGATTACAAAGGTGGAATGGAATATGATTATATTGTTAATAAAACGTGGTCTTGTATCCTTAAGAACAGTTAAACAAAAGTTTACTGCTTAGGATTCTTAATATTCCAAAAAGAGAAACACATGTTAAAATTATAAGTGGATAATGCAACAACACCAATGTCAAAGCCCATTTCATATCTCATAAAATAGAATCTCCAAAAACGTTTAAAGACTAGACAAACGATTAGAACAAGATCTCAAACAATAGCAGCGCGCGCACACACAGCACAAACCCCCCCCCCCCCCCCAAAAAAAAATCCAGAGCCAGAATGCTTTCAAACAAACTAAGAAAAAGATGAAGATGAAGCAACTATAAACTTACACGCCGGCCTGAGTCTTGACGGGCTGACTGGTGAGGGCGTGATGCGACTGACGAGTGACGCCGGCATGAGTCTTGACAGGATGACTGGTGACTGGTGAGGGCGTGAGCCGTGGTGAGGCGGAGAACTGGTGACGTTGGGCCGTAGGGGTGCGGCGGAAAAATTGAGAAACTGACTTACTGCGAATTGAGAAAGAATAGGAAAAACCAATTATGAAACCCTAGTATAGTATGTATATACTTAAGGGTAAACTAGTAAATTAGTTAATTCTTATTGGGTTATCGGTTTTTACCCAATAACAGAATTACAAACCGAGCCCGAACCAATAACTCAATAAAAAAAAATGTTAACCCGTTACCGAACCGTTAACCCAATAAATAATTAACGGTTCGGGTTATCCGTTTTACCCTATATATGCCCACCCCTCCACTTCTCCATTTTTATTTCAATTTCTAAAACCCTAAACCCCAAGTTCAACCTACCCCTCACTTCGATGGCGCTGTACGCTCTCCGTCTCCGGCGAGCTCTCTCACTTTCCTCTTCCATTTTCACTCAAACATTCCATCAACCAAATCCTCTTTCTTCAATTACTCCATCACTCTCCCAAATTAACAATTCGTCTACTAAGCTTATTCACTTTCCGTACCAATCGTCGAGGCTATTTAGGTCATCTACAATTTCACAGTCCTCAAGGTTTGACCGGAACCGGAACCCTGCTGATGAAGAAATTGGTCCGGATACGATCCTCTTCGAAGGATGCGATTATGAACATTGGCTTATTACAATCGATTTTCCTAAGGATACTCAACTCACCAGGGAAGAGATGATTGAGACCTATGTGCAGACTGCTGCTAAAGTCTTTGGAAGGTCAGTCGATTTCTATTATTGTGTATTTTATATGTTATTTTCGGAAGTCATGTCTTCTGTCTGGTCAAATCTAATTTTAGTAAGTCACTGTATTTACATGCTTGATATATACCCGTTAAGTAGGTGCAATTATTTTATGTTGTAGGTACAGGATGATTCGATAAGCTTGAAAGCTATTGAGTTAAATAAGATTGTTGTCATATCTTCTGGCTGAACACTTTTAATTTCTGCCGGATATTAATATATTCATTGAAGAGCTGTAATTATTGAATGATGTAGTTATAAGATCTTTGGTGAGCCGAGCTTGCTGTTTAGATAGATCAAGTTGGCTTCAAAGTGGAAAGATATCGTATTTGAAATAATAATGATGATCATTTCCCTCTGATACTTTGTTGGTGTTGGTTCTGATGTCAGTTGTTAATATGCAGTCAATAAGAAAGCCGAAGAAGTATTACCCGAAATCATATCTTGAATGCAATATATACTGGAACTTGGAAGCTTTGAGTTATCAACTTATCATGGATAAGGGTCCTATCAGATAGCTCTAAGTTAGTTGGTATATAATTGATTCTGCTGCAGTCTTTTGATTGTTCCTATTATTGCCTGCATAGTATTCTTAGCATTATTGTGTTAGGAAGATGTTTTCTTCTCTTGTATATCACTAATTGGTGTGATTTGTGACACCTATTAATAGAATAAATTATCTCTTGTTTTTTCCAACTTAATTGCCTTTAAGTAAATATTTGATTGAATGTGATATCGAATCAGGTGGAACTTCCTATCATTGACCTAAGACTTTGTTGCTTTGTGGCTTCGTATTGTTTAAATAATGCAGTGTGGAAGAGGCTAAGAAAAAGATATATGCCTTGAGCACAACAACTTACAATGGTTTTCAGGTCTTGTGTTCAGAGGAAACGTCAAAGAAGTTTGAAGGTGAGTGTATATTATGTTGTATCTTTCCTTCTGAGCAACGATAAATTTATTTTTGGTTTTAATATAGAGATTCTGTCTGCAATCAGGCCTGCCGGGTGTTGTGTTTGTACTCCCTGATTCCTATATTGATCCAGTAAACAAGGAATATGGAGGTTTGAATGTTATTTTTGATTAGCATTTCAAAATCATGTTTATGCTTTACAAGTTATTATCTTGAATTTTATTGTGGTTTCCCTTGTGGGTTTGCTTCTGTCGTGCTATTAAAATCAGGTGACAAATATATCAATGGGGAAATAATCGAGAGACCTCCTCCTCCACAGTTTCAAAGACCATCACGGCCTAGTAACAGGCCTCGAAGAGGCCCACAGTTTCAACAAGGCAATTATGGCCCACCGCAGAGTCCACCTCAGCAGAACTTTGGGCCACCGCAAGGTGCTCCACCCCAGCAGAACTATGGTGCAGCACAAGGTCCTCCGCCCCAGCAGAACTATGGTGCAGCACAAGGTCCTCCTCCCCAACAGAACTATGGCCAACCAAGATATCCTCCACCCCAGCAGAACTATGGTTCGCAACTGTATCCTCCGCCACCTCAACAGATTTACAGCACACCACAGAGTCCTCCACAGCAAAACTATGGGCGGCCACCAAATCCACTGCCTCAGCAGAGTTACAGTGCACCTCAGAATGTTCCTTCTCAATGGAATCATGGCCCTCAGCAAAGCTTTTCACCTCAACAGAATTATGGGCCTCAAGGAGCTGGGGATCCTAGGCATCAAACACCTCTAAGCAGCCCAGACGGATGGGATAATTCCCAGGGTGGCAGACAAGATTCAAGACCTCAATATCAGGTTAATTACAATCAAGGAGAGCAAGGAAATTATTCTCCTCAAAGAGACCAGAGAGGTTATGCACCTCCAGAGGAAAGAGGCTTCAGAGGAGATAATCAACATTATGCCCCTCCAGAACAAAGAGGGTTCAGAGGAGATAATCAACGTTAAATGAGTATTTAGTTGAGATTTGTTCTTCTGTTTAATGTTCTCCCAAGGATGGTCAAGTAGTATCATACAGAAAAACCGGTTATGCACTGTTTAATGTGGCTTGACATTATGCACAGCACTTTGCTCTTTCTGTTAGTCCATCATATGTTAAGTGACTAATGGCTGTCAGTTGCTAATTGATGATGTGGTTATCATAGTCACTTTAGGCATTGATTTGCGTATTTGCTTTTCTTGGGTAGTTTCTTTAGGTAAAGAATTGGGAGGAAAGGAAATTGAATGAATGAAACTTGTTCTATGCGTGTTATGATTGTTTTTAGAAGTTCTTTCAGTCTTTAGTTATCTCCACTTGTGGAAATATGCTGGGTTTGTTGTTGTTATTGTTGTTGTTTTACTCTTTAGTATATGGCATCGTACTTTTCTCATGGGAGTAGATCAATCTTAATTGGCCTGCATGGCAAATGCTTCCTAATTTTGTCATTCAGGAGAACTGCACATTAAGTGTTCGTCCCATGCTATAACTTGGCTCTACAAGCAGTCAAAGTAATGGAAAGCTTGATGATAGAACGTGACGAATTCTTGAAAAGGCTGGAGGTACCAAAGCAGCTTCCCCCATAGTGTCTAGCGCTGTACCTCTTTATGCATGCTCTTCGGATAAAAAAGGCAGCCTGGTGCACTAAGTTCCGGCTATGCCCGGGGTTTGGGGAAGTGCCGGACCACAAGGTCGTACGCAGCCTTACCCTACATTTCTGCAAGAGGCTATTTTCACGGCCTTCGGATAAGAAGTCTCTAAATCCCCTTTGGGCTTGGCAATACCAACGGTAAGGCCATTGTTTCGAGCCATCAACTTGATTCACAATAGCCTTGTAATTTTCATAAATATCAATTTGAATGGCAAACAGATTGAGAACAGCAACTAGTTACCCGTAGAAAACCATTGGCAAGAACCTGTATTTCTTAATTTTGCATTAGAGATTAGCAGGAATTCAGGTAGAACGTCAAAGAATGTTTTGCTTCAAAGTCTAAATATTAGTGTAAGAGATCCTACTTTAGCACTCTTAGGGATCGTTTGGTTGGGATCAAGTTATCTCAGGATTATAATACATGGACGAAATAGTAATGGAATTATTTGATGAATATATTTTATAAGTAGATATTTGGTTCATTGGACTAAAAATGAGATATACGGGGATAAAATGAAATATGTGCTTGCTATATACACTTGATAAGTTGCAATAAACTTTTATTATCAATTTTAACCTTGGATTTTTTTAAGGACTTTGGGGGTAGAGCCTTGGAAAAGGGCATCTTTATCATAGATGAAGACATGCATCTAAACGACAAATTAATACTATCAATGTTTTTCTTTTTTTTTTTTCTTTTTTCTTTTTTGGCACTAATGATAATAACATTTTTTTCATCCACTATAAAGAATAATAATTCTATAGCATCCACTTATGGTCTCCAAACAATTAAGCTCTTTTATACAAGAAGGCCTAGTTACAATTATTACTAGAAACTATTAAATTAAACACATGGAGTACTACATATCATGGTCAATAATTTCTAAGTTGGTGGCTCGTTGGCTTTCTATTCCACCACGTCAAAGAGGTACAAAAAAAATAAAAAAAATATGGTGGGTGGCACCCATCAAAACAGGTTCAACTCCACTATCTTCTGCCTGCCTTACTATTTGCCTCTCAATTTATGGAAGACGAACATTCTTAATTCCATTGGTATCTATATACTAAAAATAATCTTATTAATTTGTAATATACTAACATCACAACCACAACTATATATCAACTTGAAGAGCAACATTATCTGTACACAATAGGGAGAGTTGGTAGATTCTAGAAAATAACTTGTGTCCATAGCTGTTTTGATGAATTTTTAATGCTCTGCTTAATGGTCTATTCTTTGATCAAAAATTTTCTTTATGGAAATCAAACTTGGTGGATGTCTTGTGTGAAAAATCCCAGGCGTGTTGTCTTAGTTCATTGGTGAGTGCTGGTGCCCCACAATAGAACACCCCTGCAAATTGTCAAAAAAAGGAAAGAGTAATTAGCCATCGACAATTGCTGTCTTGACAGAAATTTGAAAGTGGCCTAAGTGCCAATTGCTTTCACAATGAAATACTAGATCAATTGAACATGCTTTTCAACTTTAATAACCAACTTTAATAACGACATAGATACCAAAAGTCTAAAGGTTTTTTAACACGTAGAAGTTGATAGTTTTGTGGGGGATATATATCTCAATAAGCATAACAGCTCATGGATCACTATGAAATTTGCATTAAGCCGCTTTTAAGGACACTAAGCTCCCGCTATGCGCGGGGTCCGAAGAAGGGCTGGACCACAATGATCTAGTGTACGCAGCCTTGCTCTGCATTTCTGCAAGAGAGCGTTTTCACGGCTCGAACCCGTGCCTTTCTGGTCACAGGGCAACAACTTTACCAGTTACGCCAAGGCTTCATAATAAGTCGGAAAAAAAACATAAAAAGTTGAGATCAAAAGAAAGAAGATAACAAACTTACCAACTTTAGCCTCAGGGTGGTTGAGAGCAATGCGTTTGTAGACATTACGCCAATTAGGTTTAGCAAAATGTGACTTAACTCTGGTGCCAGAAACAATGTCAACACCATTTTTGGCATGGTGAAGAGACTGAAGCATAGTAATAAGAGCAGAACGAGCATCACCTTCTTCATATACACTAGTACAATAATTATGCATTTCAATTACTCCCTTATGGTCCATTTCAGCAGCTTCATTCATTATACCTTTGAACCAATCAAATGAACCTTGTTCTCTAGTAACCCAATAGAAATATGCTCTCCTTGTATTGAAATTATTTCTTCCACTTGCTGAACCTGATTTATTACCCTTCTTTTGTGCAATATTGGGGCTAGAATTTGGTGCCATATTATTGTGTCCATTTTCCAAAGAATTTTCTTCTTCGTCCATTGCCTTCATGTTGTTGACAATGTCTTTAACAATACTAATCATTGGTGTAGCTCCAATTCCAAGACCTACCAACAAAACCACCTCATATTTCTTGTAGTCTTGTGCTGGTGCCCCATATGGTCCATCTATTAACACCTTTGGGAAACTGCAATCATCACACATTGGAAATTTTCCATTAGCTATGCTATATAATTACTTGGCGTTACGACATAAGAATTGTGAAATTTCGAAACAAAAGAAACAAAAAAAAAAAAAAGTTAGAAAATGGTATCTGGAAAATTGGAGTTATTTTTGGACATAAATATAAGTTGGTATTGTTCTTGAATTTTTGTGAGTGATTTGGAGAGAAAAATTGTGAAAAAAAGTTTTTTGAGTTCCAAAAAATTTTGTAATTCAACTTCAAGTTGGATTTGAAATTTCCGTAGCCACTGATTTCAGGAAAAACTAATTTTTTTTTTTTTTTGCTAAAGAGTAAAACCTCTTAGCAGACAATTTTTATGAATTTTTACGCTATTAGATCACTTAAAAGATAACTACAAGTAACCTTGCTATAGCATGTAAAATTGATACAAAAATGATTTACACTGCTAGTAGATATATGTCAAATCCATTTACTCGATAATATCTTGCAAGCAAAGGTTTCATTTTGATAAAATATCAACCAAGAATTGATTATTGTTTTATCCGTCCTTGTTCCTATCCCATTAATTTTACAAAATAACAAGCCTGCAGTACTTTAAGGTATGGTCCATCCAAATCTTGTACAGATTCGTTAGGATAAAAAAGATCATAAGTTTGTTATATGTACCAACCAGTCCAGATTGTGACCTAGTATCCATTACCAATCACGATCATCATAAGTTTTTAAATAATGGAAAGTGCAATTACATTCGCAGTATTAAATTAAATTATAAAAAATATTGGTAGTATTAAAATAATATCTCCGGATATTATGAGTGGGGGATTTTTAATTTAATTCTGCATTTTGATGTGATTATAGAATGGAAAAAGACTTACTTAGGATTATTCTCTCCTTGCAAGTTGTCAGCTCTGAGGAGTCCACTTTTTCCATTAGGTGGTGGCTGGCAAACCTACCAAAGACCAAACATACTATAATTAATTCATTAAGATCAATGATTAACACTAACACAATGAAATTAACATGTACTTTTGGATAAAAACGACAAAAGCAAAAGTATAAGGGGCGGCTTTTAAAGCTGTCATTCAAAATGGATATCACACATTCTACTATTTTGATGCATATCCCCAAAACAATGTTGCATATAATAAGGACATTATCGCCTAGGTATAGAGTTAGCTAGATAGTTACAAAATTCAGAAAATCTCAAGTATTGATGTTGGTTTTAAGCAATTATGTGAAATTAATTTTATTTTCAATAAATTAATTACTCCCTCCGTCCAATTTTGTTGGTCCATTATTGATTTGGTACATCCCTTAAGAAACAATAAATAATCTATATCACCATATTTATTATATATTGGAAAATAAATTTGAAATAAGTGGTACTTAATAAGAAAGGTAAAATAGGTATAAAATGATAAATTATCCATAGATTTTCTAAATTGGACAAGTAAAAGTCGATATTTATTTTTAGTATAATGAATACGTAAATTTGAATAATACTATTTAGAGGACTAATTACCTCGGAGAAAACAGTTTTAAGTTGTCTGGTCCAATCACCAAGAGTTCTAATATGGACACTGAGATAGTCATCTCCTGGGGCCGAAGTAATGGAAAATGGATGCCTGAAATTGATAATAATGTATTTAAAGTCAGCAAATACAGCGTAGAGAGACGTAGTAGTAATTAACAGTGACCCTTGATATGAGAAATAATAATAATAATAATTTAATAATAATAATAATAATAATAATAATGGGTGATATCTATTAATTTAAAAAGCTTCACCTACCACTCAAATGGAGAAACTGCAGCACAGTTGACAAACATGTATTGCCCACTTTTGTATTTGTAGCCCTGTGGCTTTGACATGTGAAGTGCCAAGACATTTCCTGGATATACTGCCACCTACATTTTCCACGCACCACCAATTAGTCAATCTTCATTTTTACATTCATGACTATGTGGATAATTGCACTTTTAGTCCCTCGGTTATTGATAATTTTCAATTTTGGTCCTTGTGATATTTCACTTAGCATGTCTAACCTTCAACTAATTAAAAAGTGTGTATTTGGTCCCTTTATATGAAAAATGCATTAATTTACTCTATTTTATTATCCCCAATCATGGAGTAATAATAGAAGTTAAACATATCTAATGCATGTGTATATAAATGATTTAGCTGTTAATATCTCATTGTAAAGATTTATCAGCCATAGGATCATAAGTTTAACTTAAATTAACTGAAGGTTAAATATGCTAAAATAAAT